GCAGCAGGAACGTATTTAGGACTTGTGCACAGACTTTCCCTTTACCAGAGCCAATCAAGATTATCCAAAGACTTGCATCATGGCCGCAGCACCCTTTTGTTGGCCACCAAGACGCCGACGGAATCCAAGACAATCGATCGCCCACGCGAAAAGCAGGTACGCGGAAGGAGCATACTACTGCAACCTGCCATTTGTTGGAGATTGGTAGTCAGCGGTGCAGCGAGCTGTCTGAGGATTCTCGCATTGGTCACCTCAGCTAGAAAACGGAATCCTGTCGTCCGTTCAAGCATTCGGCCATCCAACATATCGCTGCACATCTAGCGCGTCTCATGTCCTAAGATCTGATGACTAGCTCAGATCTGTCTTGGTTATTGACTCGTCGCTCCTTATTATTAGCAGAGCTCCAAAAAAGTTGAGTGGTAGCCCAATGGTATAACAAAGTCTAGCGAGTATGAAACGCTGCTGAATGCTGATCCGGGCTCAAGCGCACTCTGACTCAGGGCCACGCGGTAGCATCAACGTGTCGTCCGGCGGGAAAGGCAAACGATAGTGTTATGCACGATGAGTTCATTCATACGGCAGAACAAGTCGGGGGTTCAGGAGACGGGTGGACGGCATTTTGTTTGTGGACAAGTAGGATTGCGGCCTAGAGATGTTGGTGTCTTGGTGAAGCTATCACGAGAATGAAGCCAACAAGGATGATGAGGATGATGAAGGTCCGCGCGAGATCTGGCGTCGCATCGCTCTTTACCCCATCGAGTGTGGGGCTTGGCTTGTTCAGGACAGGGTACGCGAGATCGTCAGGAACAGAAGGTTAACCTTGTATCAAGTGAATGCGGAGAGGAGGCGCGGAAAGACAAAGACTCCTTCTCGGCCCATTTGCAGAAGTAGAGTAAGCGAGGATCTACGGAGTCGGAGGGATGCCGTTCGCCTTCCTGCCTGACTGACTGTGCTGCATGTCGGCGACGCCTTTTGGCATTGTTACTTTATGATTTAGGAGGGCGAGTGCCACATGGCAAATGAGCGCTTGATTTTCGCCCTTGCCCTTGCCCGGAAAAAAAATGCACAGCAGGAGAGGAGAGATTGAAAGTATACTGATGACCTAAGATAAAACAGACTACGGTAAGGTACAAGGGTAGGTAACTCTAATCACCTCGTGGCCGTGCCTTAAAAACACGTCCAATGCAAGGATAAGGTACTTTCCAATGCATCAGTAAAGTAGCGTTCAGCTGCCAAGATCCACCAGTCGCGCTGTTGTTCTTGTGAGTTGTGACCCTGTTTGAACAGAGCATGTTTCATTCAAGCTTCATCGATGATTCGATGAATATGCTTCCACCAATCATGTCCATACTGTCCACAATGTCCACACTGTTTAGGCCCTGAATGAAGCAGGAATCCTCCGACCAGCATTGCACCGAACCAGGCATGGAAAAATAAGTGGAAAAATAGTTGAAAAGGAAAAAGAGGAAAAGATAGGGGCTCCCCCAATCGCGGATAGGGAAGGATTAGCGAGGCTGATGCCAAAAATAGTGCGAGATACTACGCTAATGCACCTCATGCGTTTTGTCGACCTCATCAACCTCCTATCCAAGCACAGTCCAGAGCCTTTGTAAGCCTTGCTCTTCAGAGGGGTTACATCCTACCAGGATTACTTTCCAACACACCGCAATCGCCAAAACGCGAACGCTGGATCTTTTGACATCCTCTAGTGAGTAGTTCTGGCTTGACCTCTTCTTGACAAGCATCAGCGTTCCTGCGTCTCGCTGATCCACCGTATCATCGATCGAAATCCTCCCGTGCCATGTCGCCCGTGCTGCGACGGAGACGTAGTCAGCGACACGTGAAATGAAGGGAGCTTGGGCCAGATGACTATAACACGACCCGGAGTTGGAGCATTGGAGCACACTCAGACTACGACGTTGAATAGCTCCTTTGAGCCGTGGGCTTGAACGCCCGGGTAACTACTTTACATACTACATAGCAAAAAGTCTCTTACAATTCATGACTTGCACAGCCGCGTTTAAAATAGCCATTCATGATCACCTATCCTCCATGCAGGTCATCAAGCGAGATTACCATTTCTCGATGAGGCATAAAGTAGGTTTTTTTTTTGATGGCTTCGAGCCGTCTTGATAACTCAACTAGGCAACGCTTCGTTCGGCAGCTGCCTTCATTCACCCCACCCCGTCAACACTCGGCTTTGCAGATCACGTCGATGATACTTATTCTTTTTCACAAACATCCTTTGCTTCACAATTTCTACACGCCGTCTCATCTTTGCTTAATACTGCTACGTCAGCCTGCCTCACGGGCCTAATACAGCATGACCATCGTGGTAGGCTGAACGTTACATACCAATGTCCTGTACTGCCACCTCGAAGATTAAGTAGCCTTGCTGAGGCCGTCATAATCTCGAAAGACCCCATTCAGTCATCCATCCCGTTGTCGCCCCACACCACAGCAGGTTTCCTAATCAAAAATCTGTAAAGATCCAATTGAGGCGGAGATAATAGCCAATTTTAGTACCATTCAAGGCGCAGAGTTTGCAACATGGCCGACCAACAACTTCAGTCACAATTAATAGAGGCTGCTCAATCAACAGCAATAAAATCACAGAGTCCTCCCACCGGTCTCCCATCAGCCTCCGACGAGAAGCCGACATCGTCTGAATCAACCCGACGGCGCAGGTCTTCATCCAGGTCTCCTGCAGATGCTTCGGGGAAACCTAGGGAAAGTCCAAAGCAGCGACAGAAAGCAAAGTCGGTGCCATACAGAGCAGAGTCAGGGTCGGGTTCAGGATCGTCACGGGGTTCCATCATGACAATGCCAGGGGGCGCGCTGGATCCGATGGGCGGCGAAATCACGTATACTCCGACAACACATCGTATCAGCAAGGCAAAAAAGGGGAAGAAGGTCCATGCTTGCGAGTACCCAGGATGTTCTAAGGTGCGTTTGGTCCTGGGTTTGCGTTCGGGGAAGTGCTAACTTCAAATTAGATCTTCACTCGGGCAGAGCATCGCAAGTATGGCACTCAACGGTCTTCGAAAGCTGTTCTTTGTACTGACCGTCATTCTACAGACGCCACGAAGCGAATCACAATACACAGCCTGCGTTTCAATGTACGTTAGAAGGATGTCGCAAGCCTTTTCAACGCGCGGACCTGCTAGCAAGGCACATGGAAAGACAGTAAGTAGACCTGCCCGCTGCACAAGATCAGCTCTGATATTCGGTAGGCACAATATCCCAGCAGAGATATCGGCATTCAGGAGTCCATACTCTCAGCGCTCGACCAGCGAAGCCTCAAGTCCATCCGCCAGAGGTAGCTTCAGCGGCCCACACATGGGTCCTCCAGCCCCAGCACCCGCGCCATCAAACCCTCAACCCTCCGGCACCATGTCCATCGGCTCCATCATCGAGCCTAACATGCACCGAAGCAGCGAATATGCCTCCCACCCTTCAGGGCCAGGAGGTCTCCATGAGCTCTCCAGTCATGCACCAATAGGTACGACACCACGCAGCTTGGTCCCCGAGCTGCTCTACGGGCTCTCTCCAACCGGAGATTCTCCTTTGTATTCCTCCTCTGATTCTTGTTATTCCCCTCTCTCAGACTACTTGCAACCTCAACAAGCCCTTCCCCAGCCTTTTTACCCGCAAGACGGCATTCAGCGCCCTGAACGTGGGAGCATCGATTCGTGCTTCCAACCGATCAGTGTGCATTCGCCTTTGTCTGGAGCGCCTCCGGCACCGGCGTGGGGTCAGTATGATCAGACTACGTTGGGATTTGCCCCTGAGGCGCCGAGTCTTCCTCCGGTAAGTGACTCATGACTCGAGTGACTCGAACTGTGAGCACCGACTGACAGTGGTCATAGCATCGACAATACGAGTTTCACTCACCCTCATGGCCGGATACGCAAGGCGTCCCTTCTTACGAGATGGGCGTTCCGCCTCCACAGCAGCCATGGCAATGGACGAAAGTGAACTACTGAGTTCGCCATTACGATTCACGATTCCCGACCACCATTACCACTACCACTACCACTACCACTATATGTTGCCCTCGAGGCTAAGGCCGGAAAATAAGGCCGCCAAAAATAATCATAATCCTGATTTGGCTGCGATATTGCTTGGATTGATCATATACCACTGTACCACTATGGGCGGACGACTGAATGATGACCTTACGGGATGGAAGAAGATAGTCTGCTGCGTTAGGTATTAGCGGGTTGTTTCGATTGGAAAAGCAGCGTCTGTAAGAATAGGAGACTGGAGCTGTATATGCTACCATAGTTGTAATATTAATACCAGAGAAAATAAAAGCTACAGAAAGCACAGCGGCTTTCCCCCCTCATAAACCACCTCTGCGCTAGTTGAGGCTTGGCATGCTCGGCACCATAGAAAAAGCCTCGACTCCTTCGCTGCACTCACGCGAACAATCCAAACACGTCTCTTCCTTCTTGATAACAAGCAATCAATCGAACAGTCCGAACGGGCCCAAGGAGAAAGAAACAGTTACCGTCCACCTCGCAGAGCCCTACTGCTCGAAGGAAAAGAGTGGCTAGTGACCTGGTCGAGACTGATCCCGAACCCTAATCCCTGGGCTCATGTCAAGGTCTCCGAGATTCGACGACTGATTCAGCCCGAGACTTGACAGGACCCTCGGTACGAGACTGAGTCTTTGCGGGGTGGGGTGCGGTCGGTCGCAGCGTGCCTCCCAAACCATCTTCTCCTCATCGTCGCGACTCTGGTGGTGACTGATTTGCAGCAGCTCTCCGTGAGCATGGCAAGAGACATGTTGCGGCGCGATTGCAGCCCTTGGTTACTACCTCACGTGGCTTCGGCTCGTCGTTGGTCCGACGATACAACGGCACTACAGGATTTATATTGAAGAGTGTGTGGGTGTCCGTGTAGCCATTTGGTGTTTCCGGATCTTTTTCTTCGCCTTGCTTGCTGCCTTTCTGAATTCAACAGATTGGTTTCTTAGCATGCTCACAAAAGGCCTTTCATGCTTCTGTTTGCCCCTCGCTGATTACTTCGACTCTGTCCCCCCCCCCCAGATGCCTTTCGTGCTCCCGTCCGCCCCTCGCTGCTTTCTTCGACTTCGCCCCCCTCCAACAGGCCACTATCGCTGCCACCTTTTCCATCACACTCTTCCTTTTTTCCATCACACCTCCGTTCCTCTTACGCCTATGCTCCTCAGACTCGCCTCCGTCGTAGTACATTTCTATCTGCTGCCCGATCGAAAGGCGCTGGTTTGCCAACAGTAGAGCGTTGAAACGACGAAGTTCTGCATAGTCGCAGCTGTCGATGATGTCCATGGCGGTCATGTATTGCTTGCTCAGCCCGGTGACGGGGTCAATGTCGTCCCAATTCGTGGCTGTTGGCGGGCTAGATGTTTTGGTGTAAGTTCGCGTTCAATTGGGACGAAGCCAAAGAATGAGAGCAGACATACGGGGTGGTAGCCGTTGCATTGTTTTGCTCTGTGCTTGATGGAGGTCTAGATCATTCGATCTTAATGCTGCTATTGGCAAGAAGCTATACAATGAGGGAATACGTACGGGGTAGTAGCGATTGGGTTATCTTGTTCGGCGATGTCGACGGCGTCCAAACCATTGGTTTGATGGGTTCTAGATATCTTGGTCTCAGTCCATTGCATGGGCCAGAAGCCGTGATTTGGGCCTGCATACAGGGTGGCAGCCATTGGAATTTCTCGTTGAGGTGAGCCACGAGATGTTGGTGGGCTGCGATCCTTGGAGTCAGTGTTGAGCGATGTTGAAGGTGAGAGACGAGCTGCTTTACGGGCTGTGATCCTTCACTTTAGCCTCAGCTGTGCGTTGTTCCTTTCGGACTGCTTCCACCTCTCATTGACACTGACAAGCCAGGAACCTGTTATTGATGAGCAAACGTGTGTCTGTTAGACTTTTTGTCATTGTTGATCAGATGCAGAAAGATACGAAATGTGCACCCGAAAGCCCAAGGGATCAATTTCACGGGGCAGCGAGGGTCCCAATAAGAATCAATCAATCACGGGATAACAGTAACACCAAACCCACATGCCCTGTCGGCCATGCTAATGCAAGACGGGCATGGGAAACAAGCCACAGGGTAATGCCGATCGTCCGCGGAAAGCTGTGTTTCTATGCATAGACGCACTCTTGGGACATCCATGAACATGCTTTAAAGACACTAAGATTCCAAAGACTTCCACGCCTCGCAAAAAATCTTCTTTCGGATAGTATGCCTATGCTGTTCCACCAAAGCTGTCGAGAAATATTCGAGTGATAATTCAATCAATACCATAGTGTGTACATACACGAAAGGTGTTCCACAAAGCTGATAACATGTCTAGTGAAGCTGGATCGCGTGCAAATGAATCAAAAGTCCTATCACGAATAAAATAGTGGGGCCGGCTCGAGAAGGAAATGACGTGCTAACAAAGGTTAGTGGGGGAGGTAGCTGAGGCAATGGGAGGTATAGGAGGCATGAGAGGCATGGGAGGCATTGGGAAGGCCTTGGGGAGGCATTGGGAGGCATTGGAGAGGCATTGGGAGGCCGATAGAGGCACGCTAAGGGAGGGAGCAGGGATCCGATTGCTCCTACCTAGGATTTGCTAGGACATCGAACAAGCCGCGACCGTCACGTCAGAAGCCAGAAGATAACTATAGCTAAGCGACGACCAACCCTCACCATCTATACCTGCAGCCGAACCACCTGGGTCCCGACACAGCGAACAACACATGGGAGAAGGGTTACCGAGTGGGAGCTACCAGTCCACCGGAGTCAAATCCAACCCGGGGAAGCTATGTCCGAGACGCATCTAGCTAGACATGGCTCGACATGGATCTGGTAGCACAAGCTAGTCAATCAGACTCATACGTTTTTTGTGATCCATCACCCATAGCCGGCTCGATGGTAATCGTCGGGACAACTTGTCAGCTCGGTGGGTTGGACACGTCGTGGATTGCAGATCTGATCCTCCAAGCCCGGAGCTTGGCTGATGCATCCGTGCTGGAATCAGAAAAAACCTCCCCCGTTCCAATGAAACAGAAAGCTTCTTCTTCTTCCGTCGGCTGCCAGCATCGCGGTTTGAGAGATCCATCGCTGGTCCTGCTTCGGGGAGTTTCATTGATCCATCAGCCAGCCCGACGATGAACCAACTTCTCCTTCCCCCCCCCCAACCTCCCGGGAAACCTTGAAAATCCCCATCCCACCTCGACACCTCGTGCCGCCCCGCCAAGCCAACATCCAGGCCGGGGGGAGTCGATTGTCGGGAGTAGGTTCGTGCCCCGTGTCGGAAGCCGGAAGGACTCGATCGGCCAGGGCTGAAGCTCCAACATGGGGGCGCCACGAAAGACCCGGCGCCGTGGCGCCGGGACGATTTACATACGGCACTCTAGGTACAACGGCTGTTCGATCCATTGATCCGGAGCTGGGGCGATGGGATGTCCACGGCGTGAAAGCGAGCTGGTGGACTGTACGGATGCGGTCGGGGCGACTGGCTGCTGGAGCGTTCTGGGTGCGAGATGGATTGAGGGCTGGTGTGTTGACGTCTATGAGAGGAGTGGATCTTCGGGAGAGGGTGTTGGCATGGTCGCGTGACCGGCAGACGAAAGGGAGAGACGAGGGATGTATGGAAAAGGAGGAAAGAATCAGATGCTTGACATCTGCATTGGTCTGATTCATACTTGCAAGAGAGCTAGGACGATGATGCCTGCTCAGTCTTCTAGAACGCCGGTATATCGCTTCAAAGAGCCCCTTTCTAGCCGCAATGGGGCACCGCCAGCACCGTCGCTTTTCGTAAGAAATAGATCATGATTCGTCGCTTGGCTTCCTCATCCGCCCCTCGCCCAACCGCCTTCTTCCCAGCTTTTCAAGGGCTCGCGGATTTCATCTCTCCATTTCGCAACCGCCGCCCTCTTCACCGCCTCTCTCGCCAGTGCGCCCTTCAACGCTCTCTCCACCGCCCTACCCTTCATGACTCTACTCGCTTGTTCTCCCCTTCTGGCGAACTCAAACGGCAATCCCTCTTTCGCCATACCGAGCTTTTGCGACGCCATGCGCGCACCCGCGTAAGGGCTATCGCCAATAGCCGCGAATAGCAGTGTTACTCCCAGGGCAAAGACATCTGAAGCATATGTTGCGACGGCGCGGTCGGTGTTACGAGGGGACAATGCTTCGAGAAGTTCGGGAGATAAGTACTCTGTTGTGACCGCGCTGACTTCTTCAACCTCCTGCTCCTCGCCCGTGCTGGAGATGGTGTGCGAGGAGGAGAAATCACAGTATAGAGGAGTCAAGGCCCGGCTGCTTCCAGGTCGAAGAAGGATGTTCGCTGGCTTGATGTCTCCATGCACACAGCCCACGCTATGAAGAAATGCGAGACCATCTATCAGACTCTCGGCGAGGCCGGCCCATTCCTCTGCACCGACGACAGGGTCAAACATGGTCTTTGTCGAAAGCGGACGTCTGATGGCCGCTTTAGCATGGGTTTCGAGGCTGAGAGGTACGGCGTCAAACATGATGGAATGCTGAGCCGAGTCGAAGCCGTGGAATGGGACGAGATGAGTTGAAGCATTGGCGTGGGAGTGGATGTAAGTGAGAATCTTTGCTTCCTTCTCGAGAATCTTGTGCGCTTGGCGGCTGGAGGGTTTCTTGACTGCCAGCACCTTCTTGCTCGAAGAAGTCGCGCCAGCGGTTGGTGATGTTGGAGGAGTCGGTGGCAGATTTGTCAATTGCTTCAATGGTTCGACATTTTCTACAGCGCGATATACGGTGCTCCAAGCACCACGCCCTAGCTCCTCGCGCAACTGATATTCCCCAGTGTACGGCTTCGGTGCCGTGTCCGGTCCTAGAGCTTTCCTCTTTGATGCCTGATCCGCTTTAAGTTCGGGCATCCCGAATGGCTTCGCGCCTAGGTTTACGTTGATTGAGAGTATAGCTTCAATCCCGTCTGCGCTGGCGGAAGCTCGGATGTTCTCTGGTTTCGGAGGTGTAGATGGAGGAGTGAGGGGCTGATTCGCACCAACAACAGGGACCTCTGCTGGCAGTGTCTTCGAAGCTGTAAGCTGAGGTCTCTGGTTCAGCGGAAGAGCCGGTAACTCTGCGAGCGCGGGACGCATTGGCAATGCGACAGGACTGGTCGGTGGACTGGTGAGTGGGAGCCAGCGCTGCTTGGACGCAGTATCTTGGGGCGTGTCCTCAGGCATCTTGAATCTTTGCTGGGGACTCGAGCAGGATGATGCTGCAGGTCGCAGGGGAATGCGCCGGCGGATGTGTAGAATGTGGGAGGCTGCAAGCCACAAAGTATGTCACCTCGCAGGTGTAATACCCTTTACTTTGGGGATTATGTTACCCTTTGACGGAATGCAATCGCGAACGTGCGACGAGCTGGACTCTTATGGGAGGGAAGGGAAATTGCCCATTTTTGGGTGCTCCTTTCGGGACCTGTGAAATGACTCTTGAAGCCAAAAGTGGTTATGGGGCGCGGTTAGGCTTCTGGACTGGCGTCTGGCTGGGAAGAATTTGAGAAGGTGCCATCTGGAAGGTATCAACATCTCGCGCTCAGATGGGGGAACTTGCGCTTTTATGAGCGCTGCTCCATGGGAAATGGCCCAATGTACGACTCCGACGTGTCGTAGCATTGTTGGAGGCTTACCGCCAGCTTGGTAAAAGACTAAGATTGAGAGAAGGTTTGAGAGATTGCATCACGAAGCTCTGATAGGTCGCTGAGCCCCCACGTGCACTAGTGTGGTACGGGTCTGACCGAGGGACCGAGTTTCATTCCATTTGCTTGAATTCATTCGCCTACTTACTTATCTATTCATCCTGAATTTGTCTGTGAGAGACTAGAGTTCTGCAGTTGGCAAATATACACGCATCAGTTATTCTCTCATCTGCTCTCTGCTGCCAACGTCTCTCCGACGTCTGGACCTCCATGTCCCTAAGCCATGCCTCCGTTGGCCCGGAGAATCTGACCGCTGATCCATGAACTCGAGCCACTGCTCAACCAGACAATCGCCTCCGCGATCTCCTCCGGCTTCCCAATGCGACCCATAGGACTGAATCCCGCGATCATCTTCAACATCTGCTCCGTCTTGCCCCTGTAGAAGAGCTCCGTGCCGGTGGGGCCAGGGGACACGGCATTGACCGAGATGCCCTTGGGCGCAAGATCCTTGCACATGACGCGGGTCATCTGCTCGATGGCACCTTTGGTGGAGTTGTAGAGGAGGTATGGCGCTTGAACTGTGGTGGCGGTGCATTGAGTGGTGGAGATGAGTACGATGTGAGAACCCTCAGGCATGTGGGGTGCTGCTTTCTTCGGGGGCGTTAGCTTTCACAGCCGTGGAAGAGGGGATTAGGGCGGCTGACCTGGCAGAGGAAGTAAGGACCCTTGACATTGAGGTGGTAGCTCTTGTCAAAGTCTGCCTCCGTCGTGGCCTCGAGGTTCTTCAAGAGCATGATACCAGCACACGGAATCACAATGTCGATTTTGCCGAATTTGTTCACAGTCTCGGAAACCATACGCTCAATGTCCGGGATGCTGCCGGCATCACCTTGAATGAGTAGGGATTGCTCATGGCCAATTTGCTTGGCAATATCCTCGGCTGCGCTGGAGTCTGAAGAGTAGTTGATGGCGACATTGGCACCAGACTTGGCGAGGAGCAGAGAGGTAGCGGCTCCAATGCCCTTGCTGCCGCCAGTAAT